AACGAAGCTTAATCCTTCATAAACGATAAAACTCAATCAGCAAAAAGAAAATGTGACCGCTCTGTTTCAAATAATTCCTTCATCACAATTCAGGGAAATAACGCAGTTTGTACATCACATACATCAATACAACCCTGAAAATAAAAAAAAATCATAACCGTCAGCTAGATATATTTTCAACTAGGGACATTGAAACAATCTGTTTCATTACTCAATTGATGGAAAAACTGCAATTCAGCAGTTTACCATTATTTATGAGAACTGAAATTGTCGATCTTTCAAAAGCGATGCAGTAGTCAAGCAGAAAACAAAACCGAACGATTAAACTCAATCTACTCAGGGGAAAAAGCGAGTCTTGTCTTTCAAAGATTTTGGTTCCTCGTAATTCATCAAAATAATTTGTTTGCTCAACAAACACAATTAAATCAACCCCAGCACTCAGAAGAGACTTAATTCACTGCTAGAATTCTTTAAATTAAACAAACCAATAAGACTAATCGATCACGGGGAACATTGAACAATGAAAGCAATATACTTCATAGGAAGCAATTGATACCAAACGATTAGACTCAAGCAACAATGAGAAAAAAAACTTTCTCTTTCAGATAATTCTTTCATCATGAATCAGCAAGATAACGCAGTTTGTACATCACATACGTCAACTGCACCCTAGAAAACTTACAAACAAATCACAAAGAATTTCCAAAAAACGCCAAACGAAAAAAATTTGAGCTGAAGAGAAGAACACTTGTTTCAATACTAGGATCAACAAATCACTGCAAACTCATTTATCAGGCCATTAAAACTGATAGATCAGTAAAAAAAAACGAAGCTTAATCCTTCATAAACGATAAAACTCAATCAGCAAAAAGAAAATGTGACCGCTCTGTTTCAAATAATTCCTTCATCACAATTCAGGGAAATAACGCAGTTTGTACATCACATACATCAATACAACCCTGAAAATAAAAAAAAATCATAACCGTCAGCTAGATATATTTTCAACTAGGGACATTGAAACAATCTGTTTCATTACTCAATTGATGGAAAAACTGCAATTCAGCAGTTTACCATTATTTAAGAGAACTGAAATTGTCGATCTTTCATAAGCGATGCAGTAGTCAAGCAGAAAACATAAAACCGAACGATTAAACTCAATCTACTCAGGGGAAAAAGCGAGTCTTTTCTTTCAAAGATTTTGGTTCCTCGTAATTCATCAAAATAATTTGTTTGCTCAACAAACACAATTAAATCAACCCCAGCACTCAGAAGAGACTTAATTCACTGCTAGAATTCTTTAAATTAAACAAACCAATAAGACTAATCGATCACGGGGAACATTGAACAATGAAAGCAATATACTTCATAGGAAGCAATTGATACCAAACAATTAGACTCAAGCAACAATGAGAAAAAAAAATTTCTCTTTCAGATAATTCTTTCATCATGAATCAGCAAGATAACGCAGTTTGTACATCACATACGTCAACTGCACCCTAGAAAACTTACAAACAAATCACAAAGAATTTCCAAAAAACGCCAAACGAAAAAAATTTGAGCTGAAGAGAAGAACACTTGTTTCAATAATAGGATCAACAAAGCACTGCAAACTCATTTATCAGGCCAGTAAAACTGACAGATCAGTAAAAAAAAACGAAGCTTATTGCTTCATAAACGATAAAACTCAATCAGCAAAAAGAAAATGTGACCGCTCTGTTTCAAATAATTTCATCATCACAATTCAGGGAGATAACGCAGTTTGTACATCACATACATCAATACAACCCTGAAAATAAAAAAAAAATCAAAACCGTCAGCTAGATATATTTTCAACTAGGGACATTGAAACAATCTGTTTCATTACTCAATTGATGGAAAAAACTGCAATTCAGCAGTTTACCATTATTTAAGACAACTGAAATTGTTGATCTTTCATAAGCGATGCAGTAGTCAAGCAGAAAACATAAAACCGAACGATTAAACTCAATCTACTCAGGGGAAAAAGCGAGTCTTGTCTTTCAAAGATTTTGGTTGCTCGTAATTCATCAAAATAATTTGTTTGCTCAACCAACACAATTAAATCAACCCCAGCATTCAGAAGAGACTTAATTCACTGCTAGAATTCTTAAATTAAACAAACCAATAAGACTAATCGATCACAGGGAACATTGAACCATGAAAGCAATATGCTTCATAGGAAACCACAAAAACCAAATGACAAAAAGGAAAATAAAAAAGTTCTCTTTCAGATCATTCTTTCATCATATATCAACAAGATAACGAAGTTTGCCCAACCCATAAAAACTCAACCCAGAAAACAAAGCAAAACAGGAGCTCCGAAGCCACCAACCGAAAGCATTTTTAACCAGAGAGACAAAAACTAACTGTTTAACTGCTAGGACCATCAAAAAACTGCGGTCACAATTTATCATTATACAGGTTATTGAAAGCGATTGATCATTCAAAAGCGATAACCTGAAGCAATTGATACCAAACGATTAGACTCAAGCAACAATGAGAAAAAAACGTTCTCTTTCAGATAATTCTTTCATCACAATTCAGCAAGATAACGCAGTTTGCACATCACATATATCAATACAACACTGAAAACCAAAAAAAGAGAAAATGTCGAAACCGTCAGCTAGATATATTTTCACCTAGGGACATTGAAACAATCTGTTTCATTACTCAATTGATGGAAAACTGCAATTCAGCACTTCACCCTTATTAAGGACAACCGAAATTATTGATCTTTCATAAGCGATGCAGTAGTCAAGCAGAAAATATAAAACCGAACGACAAAACTCAATCTAACCAAATAAAAATGTGAGTCTTCACTGCTAGATCTCGAAAAAATGCAATGAAGAAATTCATCATTATATCGCCAAATAAAACTAAAAAGCCAATCAAAATGGATTTAAAAAAAACGAGCGAAGTGCTTATAACAAACAATAAAACTCAATCAACAACGTGGAAAACGTGACCGAACTGGCCCATTAAAAAAGTGTGACCATTCTCATTCAGATATATATTTCTTCTATCATAATTCAGCTATTAACGCATACAAAAATTCAACACTAAAAATTGACTTGAAATTTACCAGGTATAAAAAATTCACAGAACATCTACCAAACCTTCAATCTTGAAGTTTTTGTTCCACCACAAGTTCATATTGAAGTTTTGATTAATGATGCAGTTTGTCAAAAATTAGCCAAAAAAACAGATAAATCATTCGAAAAAAATAACAAGCTGAACGGTTCATAGGTAAGGAAAAAAACTCGATCAACAAAAAAAAGATGTGAGCGTTCTTTATCAGGTATTTCTTTTATCAAATATCAGCAGTAAAACGCAGTTTGCTTATCACAAGCAAAAATTCAACACTAAAACAATCATAAAAATTACAGAGAAACGTAAAACCGCCAACTACATAACATTTCAATAAAGGCAAAAATTATAGGTTTCACTGCTATGTTCATCAAAAACTTGCAAAAATTAAGCCAATTCAACTAATGGATCATTCAAAAAAAGTGTTTAAAAAATCGAGCGATATGTTTCATAGGAAACAATAAAATTAATCAACAAAAAAAAGAAAATGTGCGTGTTCTCTTTCAGATGATCGTTTCATCATAATTCAGCAAGATAACGCAGTTTGCACATCACGTATATCAATTCGAACCTGAAATACCAGCAAAAACTACAATGAAAATTCAAAACTGTCAGCTAGATATATTTTGAACTAGGGAGACAAAAACAATCTAAAAAACTGCTAGGTCCATATACAATGTGCAGAGACGCGGTTTATCATTACATCCGTCAATGAACTTGATCGCTGAATCGAACGCGATTGAAAAACGCAAATTACTTCAGGCCAAACGGTTAAACTCAATGAATAAAAAAGAAAAATATAGCTTTCACTTTCAGACAATTTTTCATTGTTATTCAGCAAGATAACGCAGTTTGAGCATGAAAGAAAAACCAACAGTTCAAATCTGATGGAAGTCCAGACTAGCTGAATTTCAATTAAAACAATTTTTTTCTGCAATCAAATGGGTATTTGAATAATCGGGGAACTAGTTCATTTTATTGGGTCATTGTTGTCTGTTAAAATGCGTTTAGCTTACTTTTAGGGTTGTCTAATTTAAGTGTGTATAAATTTATCTTATCAGAGACTTCAGTATTTTTGCGGCACCTAAGTAGTCAGCTGCTATTATCAAATCTGCTTAGAACCTAGAGAAGCAACACAACTACCGCAGAAACCCCGATTACAAATATAGCCAAAAAACAGTTGGAAAAATGTCAATGAACTGAAGTTAACCAGAAAAAAATTGAATTGAAACTTTCGAAGCTCGCAGCAAAAATAAGCCACTCTGAAGCTCTCTAAATTTCTACATGTTTTATTATCAATATTTTCTCTTTTCAAAAAACTAGCCCAATTTCAAAAAACTGGATCAATAATTAATTTTTTTTATCGGCTGCGAAATTTAATCCAATTTCGTAACTACAAGTCAATCAAGAATTTTCGCACTTATGTCGCTTTATTAATTGAAGAGTGCAAATTGCCTTCCATATAGCTACAGAAATCGAATTGAACGGAAAATTTAAAATCAAGCCGCTAAAAACAATCATAGCCAACAGACAGTTGGAAAATAGCCAATGAACGCAAAAAAAAATACTGACTTGTTTTTTGAAAAATGCAAATATTCTAATTTCGAAGAGAGAGATAGATGGCTATGAAGCTCTTTGATTTTCTCGAACAATTTATGAATGTCACTTTTCTGATCTGATAAAATTAACCCAATTTGAAAAAAAAAACTGGATCAATTTTTTAATTCGCTGGGAAATCTCATAATTAAAATCCAGTGAATTAACCTTAAAAAAGAAAACAAAAGTCAAACCGCGAAAAAATAAATTTGGCCTGAAAACAATGGGGAAAAATCATCACGAACGACATTCATCGACTTTTAATAAAAAATCATCGCAATCTATGTAACCATACATACCACTTTCGTCGTCACTTTGCAATTCGTTGTTTAACGCGGTGACTAGCTTCGCAATCTGGTGAGCAGTTTGTTCACTCTCCGTGTAGTAGTGGAGCAACATGTGCTGTTGGGATATGAGGGCATTCAGTCTGTCGAATGTAGGCCATAGCACACTAGACAACAGACAGAGAGCCAGCTGGAAACTCTGTGCGTTGTTCTGAGACCTAAAACAGAATGATCGCCCCGTATCAACAAATTCTTAGCATTAAGCATTGAAACCTACTTTGGCCTAAACTCTAGATTTTGGCCTCGGTTTTTGAAAAAATTTCACTGAAGACGAGTAAAAAAAAAAAAATTTAATTATTAGATCGTTACTCTATTCTGAATTCTACCTACTATTTTAAATACCTCTACGTCTATCTTAAGACTCTACGAGCACTAATAGATAAGAGACTGATCAAAGAAGCAAGCAGCTAGACTCACTTGATGAGGAGTTCCTTCAGCTCGCCTATCTCTATCTCCTGACTGGTGCGCACATTCTCCAGCAACACTATCTTGTCCGCACTCTCACTTGACCACTTCTGGTTGTCCTGAAGCACCTTGATTGGTCAGAATCCATTTAAAAATATACCAATATAACTCGTCCCTTTGATAATGATGACTATTTTGTAGTTTTTCGATTTTTAAGGCCAGATTAGTCAATTTTTCGAATGCTCTCTTAGATCTCGAAAATCAGAACTAATCTAATTTCATAAATATTTTGCAGCATCAAATACCTTGCGATTTTTAATTTTTCTAAATTCGTTGGATAAACAAAAAGTCCTTCTAATGCGCGTTCCCCTCAAACTCTGAGTCAGTAAAGTTTTGTGGCTCTACCGCAATAGCAAACAACACCTTAAGTTTATTCTTGAGGTCTTCAACCATCAATTGATAGTGTTCTTCCAGCTGTGATTGGTGGTTGTTGTGTGTCTGAGTCTGGTGTGCGAGCTGGCCCTTCAGAGACGACATCTCTGACTCATGATTGGACTGCAAATCATCTAGTGCTTCGTCTTTACGCACACATGCAAAATCCAGTTTTCGATACTGAAATAGCCAGGGAAAACAAAATTAAGCCAGTGAACTATCATAGAATTGAGAGGAAACTTGTTGCAACCCACTGAAACTCAAGCAAATTTATATTTTACAGCAACCAATGAAAAATGAAAACGTATACTATGCTTCGGGGACACAATTTACGACCGCGTGCAAACGCATTTGGTGATTCTGAACAAATAAAGCTATGGCTTCAAAAATATCACTAACTATATGATTAAAATTCTGACCGCAGTTGCAATGGCAGATTGATTGCTCGTGAGCGCATTTCAAGCCAATTAACAAACCATTGAGGCTTGGAACTGGAATGACAAAAATGATTCATGTTGCCAGTAGGATTCAACTTAAAATGGTTATGAGGGTAAATTGCACATCAGCGAAAAATGTACAGAATTTAAATAAAAGTGAAGGCGAACAGTTTGGTAGGAATCAATTTAAGAATAGCCAATGGTTTGAAAAAAGTCAATGAACAAGGAAAATATTTTCACTTTTCGAAGAAAAAACCACGTTGAGAAAAACACACCACGTGAAAGCTCTTAGAATTTCAAGAAAACTTCCAGAAGAAAACTGGGACAAAAGGTATTATCTTGATTCCGCTTGAAATCTAAAATTTAAAATCCTTGTTTAAACTTAAAAGCAATTCACGCTTTGCCTTTTCGAAAATGTAGAACGTCACTTCCTTTCTTTTTAGTAATTGATTTAGAACTAAACTTGAAAAGAAATCAAAATTCAAGCCACAAAAATTAAAATTTACAGAAAAAAAAACAAAATAACCACACGGCCAAAATAGGTATCTTCACTTCGTTCATTTAAATTTACTATCTTAGACTTAATGCAGTCCTTATACAACCAGCACTCGGAGGGAGAAATTAAACAGTGATAATTTGAAGAACCCACTACTCATAGAACTCACATTTGCATCCACGAATCCTGTAAAAAGAATCTGATAACTCACAAGACAATGAATCAATTCACGTTTTTACAAAGCATCGATTTTAATTCATAAACTTAGATAGAATTACAAAATCATGCGAGGTTATTATGTTTTTGCGTATAAGTTACTCTTAACTATTTTTTTATATCGATGAGACCTACTTTATCAATCAGACTTTTGTATGCAGAGGTGTATGAGTCCAGTTGCTCCATGACGTTGTTCAGAATCAGTTCCCACTCCGAGTACTCGCTCACATTCGAGTCCAGACAAGTCCGAATTGAGTTACTATCTTCAACTCCCATGGATCTCATAGATGCTAATTTGACACCGACTGACAGAAGCTGCTTCTTCTTCGTCTAAATTCGGTCATTTCCAAAACAATAGGAACAACTATTCAGACTAAAAATGGTATTGACGGTCTTCGTACGTTTCGCTCTCTTAAAGTTGGTGACACATTTCGCCCTACATTGATAACTTGACTTTGTGCACGAGGTATTAGGGGCTTTTGAGGGTGAAATGTGCCACATTCGGTATTAGCATCTGATAGCACTAGCTGAGACAAAACTTCACCATGAGTCACCACAACGCGAATATTTTTCCTTATCCCATTTTGTACCCAAGCCTTTTTGAACCACAGTTATGCAATGAACGAGTCGCTGTTTACTGTCTTCAGATCATTCTACTTTCGATTGATGACAATTGAGTTTCAACATATTCTAAATATCCATTTATTCAACCATATGTTGATAACTATTAATCTTTTGGCAAGAATTAACGCCTCCCCTAACACTGACCTCCTCCTCCAGTTTTGCCTTCTTCTTGAACACTAGCATCTGGTCACTCAGTTTGTCAGCCCTTGACTTCTGCTTCTCATATGCATCCCCACTCTCCCTCGCCTGCTGAGACACACTTGACACCTTCTGCTCCAACTCTGCATTCTCCCGCTTCAACTTGGCTGCTTCGTGGCTCTGATCAAGAAGCAACATTCACTTAAAGTTAACTAAAGCGGCAATGTGAAATTTTTAGTATGGGTTCGATTAGTCGCACTTAGAAAGCAACAAATCTGCGCTGGCTAATTTAATACAGAAGCAAAGCTGCACTTCGCAAACACAGGCAACAAATAAAGCAAAAATAAACATATTTTTGAGTTTTTAAAACAAACCGAAAAAAACAAGACCTGCAAAAGAACTTGCAACAGCCATGGTCAAAAATATTGTGTGCTGCGGAGAAGGAAAGAACCTATTTAGACCCCTCGCGCAAGGAAACCTTAGGAACAACAGACTATCACACAAATTTCAATCATTTACGATTTTAAGCATGAAACAACCCGAAAAAGACAACCACTAAATTTTTTTTAATTGGACTGTTTTAGCACAAAAATCCAACGAACAATACCTTATTGGCTAACTGTTCTTTGAGTTCGTCCAGCACTCGCTTGCTGTGGTCCACGGCCTCCTTGTACGAGTCTATCTCTGTCGTTACTGCCTTCAGTCGATCAACCAGCGCCGTGTTCTGAAAGTGTGATCAATTCAATTGAATGGAATTAATAAAAAAGGACACAGTAGCGGATTTATGGGGGGGGGGGGGGGGGGGGGGCGTCCGCCCCCCCTTTAGGGATTTGACTCCCTGCCGACCCAAAGGGTCCCCCCTTTGTACTATTTTGAGATATCCATTTATGACTGACTGAACCTAAAATTTTTCTAAAGGCGCCAATATATACTAATTTTGAGGGCGGAGCGCGCGCCGAAAAAAGGCGATTTTTTTAACAATATTTTCCAAAAAGTGCCTAAAAACGCCTTTCCTGGCCTGTTTTTTGAAAAATTTGCCTGCGGAGCAGAAAATTTGGTCGAAATGGGGCTGGGTTCTTTATAGTGATTTGGGAGACCTCAGAAAATCAATTTGGTCGACCTAAAAAAAAAACGTCGACAAAAGTTTCAAAATTTTTTTCGAAAATCTGCCCCCCTCGAGAAAATCCTATATCCGCGCCTGAAAGGACACACGAGTAGAGGTAGAAAGTAAGTTGTTTGAAAAAATATACATATTCGTTAGCAAACCAGATAAAGCAGACATTTTTAACAATAAACACACTTTCCCAAAATAAGTTAACATTTTACTACATCGCCAAGCGGATCCAAAAAGCTCATGTCAATGAATTTAGAAAATAATGCTCAAATGACCCTTCTCGCCTGGTTATTGCGTTTAAGGGTACGCACTATATTAGAACATAAGATCAGTACTGACCTCCGATCGGCTGGTCTCAACTTGGGCGTTATAGTGTTGCAACATGGAGGCAACTGACTCAACTAGGTGGTTCGGTTCAACTTCAGACCCATTCGTTCCCAACTCAACTCCGCCGTTGTCTTTGGTGGGAAGCTCATTCACACCACGCCCTTTCTCTAGAACAAAAATAGCCATAATGAAATCGATTAAAGACTCAATTACTACGATATGACAATTGAAAATATATATTATTTTGCTTCAAGTTTTTCAATCGCTGAAAGAAGGCTACTCGTTGAAAAAACAATAAACAACATTTAAGATTGATAAGTTATTAAGATCTGCCTTGTTTTTTTAAATCCTGCTGCCTTTAGTTTAACTATTAAAACTCAATAGGGGTACAAGATCGAATACTGATGCAATTACTCATATCAACAGATAAAATATCAAATATAATTTTTTTCTGTCACCTCAAGAGCTAGCATAGTACCTTCAAATTTTCACCTTGAATGCTACGATTTTACTACCAATGACCTTATTATACTAAAAAAACTTCAGTCCCGCGTTTCATAATCATTGATCAGTCCCGCGTTTCAGTTTGCCACAAATTTCCCTATTACAATTGAAAAAGGTACAAGAGGAAAATATTTCCAAAAACAATCACAGATTAGGACAATTATCCTCGCCATTTCAATTTGGCTAATCAAGAGCGCAAATTGAGTTCATTTTAACAAATGATTTTCAATTCAATCAGACACAACTGCAAAGAATCGCCCACCATGAAAATTGTAAGGACTTAAAATCCACTATTACAAACATACACGAAAACAAGTCTGAAAATTTATCAGCGACACTGTTAATCATTGATCAGTCCCGCGTTTTGTTCATCCTGTTGCCTCTAATTTCCTTATTAAAAACTCCGAAGGGGTAAAAGTTAAAAGGTCAACAAAATATCAAACACTGATGCAATTACTTATATCAACAGATGAAATATCGAATAAAAATTTTAACTCTCACCTCAAAAGCTAGCATATTACCGCCAATTACCTTTCACTTTCAATGCTACAATTTTTTCCACTATAGTCTCATGAAAAAAAAATTACCCAAAAAAGTACTTGAAACTATCGGAGAGAATCATACTCATTAACCAGTCCCGCGTTTAATTCATCATTTTGCCACAAACTTCCCTATTACAGACTAAGAAGGTACAAGAAAATACTTCCAAGAGCAATCACAGATACAGACAATTATTCTCGTCACTTGAATTTTGTTATTAGAGCACAGAAATCAAGTCATTTCAGCAAATGATTTTGTACTGAACTGAACAAGAAATCAACGTCAAACTAAAAAAACTGAGATTGACGAACATTTAAGTGCTACAAAATGGCAAACTTGAGAATATTTTAAATCAATCGGAGACAACAACAAAGAATTGCCGACCATGAAGTTTTATAATGACTTAAAACCCTCATTACAAATATTAAGCGAAAAATGAGTAGGCAAACTTATCAGCGATACTGTTAACCATTGATCAGTACCGCGTTTTGTTCATCCTGTTGCCTCGAATTTCACTATTACAAAGTCATAAGGGGTAAAAGTTAAATGGTCAACAAAATATCAAACACTGATGCAATTACTTGTATCAACAGATGAAATATCGAATTCAAAACTATCTCTCGCATCAAAAGCTAGCATATTACCGCCAATTACCTTTCACTTTCAATGCTACAATTTCACCATCAATAGCTTCATTACAAAAAAAAATACCCAAAAAAGTACTTGAAACTGTCAGAGAAAATCATAATCATTAATCAGTCCCGCGTTTAATTCATCATTTTGCCACAAACTTCCCTATTACAGACTAAGAAGGTACAAGAAGAAAATACTTCCAAGAGCAATCACAGATAAAGACAATTATTCTCGTCACTTGAATTTTATTATAAAAGAACAAAAATTAGGTCATTTCAGCAATTGAGTGTATACTGAACACGAAATCAGCGTGAAACTAAATCAAATGAGAGTGACGAGATTTAACTGCTACGAAATGGCAAACTTGATAACATTTCAATTCAATCACATACAAGAACAACGAATTGCCCACCATGAAATTTTATAATGACTTAAAACCCTCTAGTACAAAAACAAAACCAAAAATGAGTCTGCAAACTTATCAGCAATACCCTTAATCATTCTTCAGTCCCGCGTTTTGTTCATCCTGTTGCCTCTAATTTCACTATTACAAACCTATAAGGGGTAAAAATGAAAAGATGAAAAAATATCAAACACTGATGCAATTACTTATATCAATAGATGAAATATCAAATAAAAACTTCATCTCACACCTCAAAAGCTAGCATATTACCGCCAATTAACTTTCACTTTGAATCCTACAATTTCACCATCAATAGCATCATTACAAAAAAAAATAACCAAAAAAGCAATTGAAACTATCAGAGAGAATAATAATTAATCAGTCCCGCGTTTTTATCATCATTTTGCCACAAACTTCCCTATTAGACTAAGAAGGTACAAGAACAAAATACTTCCAAGAGCAATCACAGATACAGACAATTATTCTCGTCACTTGAAATTTGTTCCTAGAGAACAGAAATCAAGTCATTTCAGCAAATGATTTTGTACTGAACTGAACAAGAAATCAACGTCAAACTAAAAAATGAGATTGACGAACATTTAAGTGCTACAAAATGGCAAACTTGAAAACATTTCAAACCAATCAGAGACAACAACAAAGGATTGCCGACCATGAATTTTTATAATGACTTAAAACCCTCATTACAAACATTAAACGAAAAATGAGTAGGCAAACTTATCAGCGATACTGTTAATCATTGATCAGTCCCGCGTTTTGTTCATCCTGTTGCCTCTAAGTTCACTATTACAAACTCATAAGGGGTGAAAATTAAAGGGTCAACAAAATATCAAACACTGATGCAATTACTTATATCAACAGATGAAATATCGAACAAAAGTTTCATCTCTCCTCTCAAAAGCTAGCATATTACCGCCAATTACCTTTCACTTTCAATGCTACAATTTTTTCCACTAGTCTCATTACAAAAAAAATACCCGAAAAAGTACTTGAAACTATCAGAGAAAATCATAATCATTAATCAGTCCCGCGTTTAATTCATCATAATGCATAATTCAGCAGATAAAGACAACTATTCTAGTCACTTGAATTATATTATAAAAGAACAAAAATTAAGTCATTTCAGCAAATGAGTTTATACTGAACACGAAATCAGCGTGAAACTAAATCAAATGAGAGTGACGAGCATTAAACTGCTACGAAATGGTAAACTTGAAAACATTTCAATTCAATCAGATACAAGAACAACGAATTGCCCACCATGAAATTTTATAATGACTTAAAACCCTCTATTACAAAAACAAAACCAAAAATGAGTCTGCAAACTTATCGGCAATATCTTTGATCAGTCCCGCGTTTTGTTCATCCTGTTGCCTCTTATTTCACTATTACAAACTCATAAGGGGTGAAAACTAAAGGGTCAACAAAATATCAAACACTGATGCAATTACATATATCAACAGATGAAATAACGAATAAAAATTTTATCTCTCACCTCAAAAGCTAGCATATTACCGCCAATTACCTTTCATTTTCAATGCTACAATTTTTCCACTATAGTCTCATTACAAAAAAAATACCCAAAAAAGTACTTGAAACTATCAGAGAATAATAATCATTAATCAGTCCCGCGTTTCATTCATTATTTTGCCACAAACTTCCCTATTACAAGCTAAGAAGGTACAAGTAGAAAATACTTCCAAGAGCAATCACAGATACAGACAATTATTCTCGTCACTTGAAATTTGTTCCTAGAGAACAGAAATCAAGTCATTTCAGCAAATGATTTTGTACTGAACTGAACAATAAATCAACGTCAAACTAAAAAATGAGATTGACGAACATTTAAGTGCTACAAAATGGCAAAATTGAAAACATTTCAAACCAATCAGAGACAACAACAAAGGATTGCCGACCATGAATTTTTATAATGACTTAAAACCCTCATTACAAACATTAAACGAAAAATGAGTAGGCAAACTTATCAGCGATACTGTTAATCATTGATCAGTCCCGCGTTTTGTTCATCCTGTTGCCTCTAAGTTCACTATTACAAACTCATAAGGGGTGAAAATTAAAGGGTCAACAAAATATCAAACACTGATGCAATTACTTATATCAACAGATGAAATATCGAACAAAAATTTCATCTCTCCTCTCAAAAGCTAGCATATTACCGCCAATTACCTTTCACTTTCAATGCTACAATTTTTTCCACTAGTCTCATTACAAAAAAAATACCCGAAAAAGTACTTGAAAATATCAGAGAAAATCATAATCATTAATCAGTCCCGCGTTTAATTCATCATAATGCATAATTCAGCAGATAAAGACAACTATTCTAGTCACTTGAATTATATTCTAAAAGAACAAAAATTAAGTCATTTCAGCAAATGAGTTTATACTGAACACGAAATCAGCGTGAAACTAAATCAAATGAGAGTGACGAGCATTAAACTGCTACGAAATGGCAAACTTGAAAACATTTCATTTCAATCAGATACAAGAACAACGAATTGCCCACCATGAAATTTTATAATGACTTAAAACCCTCTATTACAAAAACAAAACCAAAAATGAGTCTGCAAACTTATCGGCAAAATCTTTGATCAGTCCCGCGTTTTGTTCATCCTGTTGCCTCTTATTTCACTATTACAAACTCATAAGGGGTGAAAACTAAAGGGTCAACAAAATATCAAACACTGATGCAATTACATATATCAACAGATGAAATAACGAATAAAAATTTTATCTCTCACCTCAAAAGCTAGCATATTACCGCCAATTACCTTTCACTTTCAATGCTACAATTTTTCCACTATAGTCTCATTACAAAAAAAATACCCAAAAAAGTACTTGAAACTATCAGAGAGAATCATAATCATTAATCAGTCCCGCGTTTAATTCATCATTTTGCCACAAACTTCCCTATTACAGACTAAGAAGGTACAAAAAGAAAATACTTCCAAGAGCAATCACAGATAAAAACAATTATTCTCTTCACTTGAATTTTAAGAACAAAAATTAAGTCATTTCAGCATATGAGTTTATACCGAACAAGAAATCAGC